CCTCATAATGTACCTTAAGGACCACAAAGCTGATTAGTGACCACCAGTGCGTTCACTAATCATCCAGATTTACTTCTAATCTTCTAATTTACCTTACTCATAAATGAGCAGAAGCGCTAAAGTACAAGAGTAAGGTTTTTGTAGTTATTTTGGACATAGCGAAGGTCTTCGATGGGCTTTGGCACAAAGTAATTCTTTAGAAGGAAATTTTGCAATTGGTTTTTGGCCATGGAATGATAAGGGAAGATTTCCCACCGAGCAAGGTGTTATTAGAGAGCTGTTCTATATATACCGCCATTAGTTGAAAACTTCGATAGCGTGATTTAGGCTTCGGTGCGTTTCGGATCGCGCCTCCACATCACCCCATTGCTCAGACCGGCGTTCGATGGTGCACACTAGTTGTCGACGAATGTGCAAGTACCATGGATCGCCTTGTAGTCTGCGGTGAGTCGAGAAGATTGCAAGTAATCTGCGAGAGTGCCATGAAGTAGAGGCGAGCAATAAGGCTCAGAGCCGTGCCGAACACTGTAGCGCGTAGGGTAGCTTGAAGTGACAGAAAGAGTTATTCTAGTGCTGCGGTGAACCTTGTAAAGCTAGACACGCGGGATCTGAAGAATGCAGACAATATCTGCTAGGGAGCGAATGGATGGGATACTTGAAGACAATGGCGAAAGCTTGAAATTGAGGTTTCCAGAGGTTGCAATCGGTTGGTCTCCAATTTGGCCGTGGAAGGAAAAGGGGAGGTCTCCCGACGGGCAAGATTATACCAACCCAAGGAACGGTCAACGCTATGAGTGTTTGTAAAGAGCATTCTATATATAGTGCAGTACTTTGGAATTTTGATAGCGTGAGCTTTAGTCTTCGGTGCGTTTCGCTTGTAGCGCGACGACAGCGCCACCATAGTATCATCAGTTTTCATTAGATCGGAGCATCAAGGTCGTAGTAAACGGTGCATACTCCAACTACGAACTACGAGCCTATTATTAATGCTAATGTTCCACAAGGCTGCGTGCTATCCACCTACGCTGTTTCTTCTGTATATCAATTATTTGTTGCTGTTACTGGTTGTAACACTGATAATGCTTTTTATACCGGCCGAGCTAATATTTCCCGGAAACACGTTACCGAGTATCGGAACTAACTTGTGTCTGAAGTCGAGTTTTTAATAAACATAATCTCGGATTGGGGACGACTCTAGTTCAGTTTAAGCTTTAGAAGACTTGCGCGTTTACTGCTAAAAAGAACACCTTTATTCAGTCATCAATTTTAGGGCAGTCCCCGTGCTGCTTCAGTCAGCATCAGAATCTCGGCATCAACATGTCGAATGACGTGTTCAGTTTCGCGGTCACTTGCAAGAGAAGGCTAAATTAGCCTCTGAAATGCTTGGCGTGCTCAGCAGAGCGGGGCAGTCAGTATTTTATGCCGGCATACAACTATACAAAACGCAAGTTCGCCCTCACATATAGATCTCATTTATGAACCGGCATACCGCAGTTCCAGCTCCACTTGCCCGCATCCAGTGAAGAGTGATTTGAATCGTTGACAACCCAATTCTTTCTGACCGCCAGTTGTTCATGGGCGATGGTCGACACTTACTATCAGGAAAATTTGATTAATGTGGGCGAAACCGCGGAGCTAGTAAAACCACAGAATAAATAATAGTACTACGTAGTAAAACATCTATCTATCTAATCTAGTACATAATATATTCCTGGGCTAGTCAGGCCGGTGGAGGGAGGGGCGCATATTCTTGTTAGCCAAGGGCTGTCGAAACTCTAAATCAGGCACTGCATGAAAAACTATTACTTACTGCTAAAGGGGACTTGAAAATTTGTGCCATCTATTATTATACAGCATGAACAATAACATCTCCAGCGACCTATACCAAAGCACAAAAAATCTTCCTAAATAATAATTATGAAACACATTTATATTAAGATTCAATGTCTAGAAACAAAATAATGATTAATTATTACAGCATAATGCATCCAAAAACAATTTTTGTGTTGTAAAATATTGGCTAGATTTGGATCCATAACAAAGACTTAGTAAGAAAATGAAAATGTTCTCATCACATGTTATTTGAATAATAAAAGGACATTGTTCTGGATATATTACAGGCATAGACAAAAAACGAATTGTTCAACTGCAAGCATCACATTTGGCGTATCTTGAACAACATCCATACGAAGAATTCACCGTTGAAGAGTTATCTGAGGCCAAACAGCTCTTACAGAAAGAAATGGAGGTTGTAAAGGCAGGCATGGGACATGGAGAGCTCAGCTTGGATGCTTACACTCAAGTGTGGGAGGAGTGTCTGGCTCAAGTAAGTAACAATGTGATCACAATTAGAAGTGAAAATTGCACAATATACCTGTTGTAGTTCAGCCAATTTACAATCTTTTTCACGATTAAGTAGTTAAATGTTAAAATATAATATCCCCAAGATGAGATTAAATGGATTTCTTTGATTTGATAGCCCAAGAGAAAATTCGTACAAAGGAAATTTGATAGAATGTAAAATTTACAAGAGAATAGATAATTAAATATAATTTAATGGTCCACCGTAAAAAATTGTTTGCGATTAAATAAATAAGGTATACCAATCTGTCTATTTAGAACAGAAATAAGTTTTATTAGCTAATAAATTTTGTGTAGTTAAAATTAAAACAAAACCCTATGGGCCGGTGTTTTAATTTATTTAACGTAATTTATTCGCAGGTACTTTTCCTGCCTGGCCAAAATAGGTATACACGTGCCAACTTAGCAAGTAAAAAAGATAGGCTAGAATCTGCTGAAAAAAGATTAGAACAAAACAGAAATCATATGGCAAAAGAAGCAAAGAAATGTTCTAAAATGGAGAAAAAACTTCGAGTATTGACAGGTAATAACTATTTTTTTGTAAATTTACTTAATTAAACTTTTGACTTCTGTTTCTCTCTGAGGAAATGTGCTTGTATTTAATATTTTTTTCTATATTTAGGTGGGTATCAAAGTCGAGCAGCATCGCTTATAAAACAGTTTCAAGAGCTTCAAGATCAAATTGAGCAAGCTAATTTGGAACTCTCTACGTTTAAGTTTTTAGCTGAACAAGAGAAGGCTGCAATTCCGCGTAGAATAGAGGTATAATTTTGAATTTTTATGTACTCTTCGTCATTATGATAAACGTGGAAGGTGAAGTTAATTTTGAGAATTATTATCATTCATAAAAAATTCTTTTTATTTCTAGTCACTGACAGAAGATGTGAATCGCCAAACTGATCGTGAAAAACAACTTCAGAAAAGATATGCGGAGCTTCAAGCAGAACTAGAAGATATTCATAAAGGAAAGCAATTAAAAGAGACTGAACCTAAGCCGATTGAAGAATAATAATTTTATTATCGTTCCATTACACTTTTGTACAACAATAATCCGCATTGATATGTATTGTAATGATGTAAAAAGATTTGCATTTTCATGTTGTTCCTTATCAATGTAATGTATGAACACCATGTTTTTCTATAGAAAAATATAGGACATTTTTAACAATGTAATAATTAATTATTGCTGTAAAAAAGCAATAGTTAATCAGTACATTGTCATCATGATACGTTACGCCATATCATGATGAACAAGTACTGTCACAGCCTAAGAAGAACATACAGTCAGTCATCGTTTGAAGTTGTCAGCAAAGCATAGATTTAGTATAAACTAACGTTAGAATAAATTGGTAATGTAAAAGAGAAAGAACAAGGTGTTTGCGTATGTTAGATCGAGAAAGACAGGCTAGACCATTCACGTACACGTTATTGGGCTATATCGGGCTGATGTCATTGGTGAACAAAACGAATTCCGCTTGTATTTGCAAAATCGCAGGTTTCAAAGTGAAAATTTATGTTAAATAGACGTAATTATAAATAAATGCGTAATACCTAAATATAACTCACCTCAGAAAGAAATCCCACATTATTTTTAACCCACGAAATGTTTAGCTATCTAAATGCTGTGTTTTAGAGCAGGTACTTAAATGGATAGGAGAAAATATCACATTTTATAATAATATGATGAATATATATCATCTGAATGCAAAGCAATCGAATTCAAAAAAAATACAAAATACGTGAAATTCTGCTAATTTTAACCTTACTTTTGAGGAGATTAACATTATCTATAATATATCGAAATGTTCCTAACTTCTTAATGCATTAATGCAAGCATGCAGCCTAAAGGTGAACGCACATATGTCAACAACGTACGCGCCGCACGCACCGAACGCGCTGCATTTCCTGATAGCCTCGCACATTCGCGCAGTACGCGTCGTACGCGCCGTACGTGCCGTAAGCAAATCTTTGGTATTGCAAACAATTTTTACTGTTTTTTACCTTTGGTGTGAAACGGTACAGTGAGTGGTATTGTGACATTGAGCTATGGAAGAAATTGTTGTAATAGCCTGCTTATTGGCAGAGGAAGAAGAAAATGAAATTCGAAGAAATAGAACATTCTGGATTCACAACATTAATTTTAAAAGGCACTTGTATGGAGAATATCATACGTTATTTCCAGACTTAGTAGATGATGATCAACGATTTTTCAGATATTTGCATTTGACATACAAGAAATTTCAAGAATTACTACATATTCTAAAACCACATCTTCCTATACAAAATTCAAGATTTAGAAGGGTTATCGGACCAGAGGAAAGACTTGTTGTATGTTTAAGGTATTATTTATTGATAAGTTTTATTGAGAAGTTAGTACTCAGGTATAATTTAGAAAAGAACACGAATCAGCAAGTAGTAATTTTAAAACTTATTTAAATACTACGTATTTCTTTAGTTCTTCATCCACCTCACAGCTATCATTATCATAGGATGCATTGAGAACCTGGTCGTTTAATATCGTTATCTGATGTGTAGGAAGTATTGGTCTCATTACTTGACGCGGAATCGTCAGAGTAATATTTGAATGCAGAATCTCTTCGTTCGTAATACGAGACTCTTCGTTCGTAATACAAGACTCTTCATTTGTCATAGTCGAAGTTGTCGGTGTAATACTTGAATGTAGTCTCTGTATTTGTATGATGAGTCACTCCAGATGTGACAGTCGATGTGGTCGGTGCAATACGTGGTCGTTCAGTTTTAGCATTTGTGAAATGAGACACTGCAGGTGTGATAGCTGAGGTGGTCGGTGAAATATATGAAGTTTGTTGTCGAGAGCGAATTTCTTTATTGGTGAAATGAGGCTGTCCAGATATAGTGGATTCAACGATTGTAGTATTTTGTACTGGATTTAGCGGCAAGGTAAAGAGGTCCATTACAGGGGAGTGAACCGTTTCAATAGGTACAGAAGTAGCATCCTTTTCATTTAGCGTTTCCAGTTCTGCATTATGCACTAATTGAAAGAGTTTACCTTTGATGTACAGTTGTTTCTTTTCATCAAGTCGTTGTACAGTTCTAGCCATACTCATAAAAAAATCTATTAAAGGATCTTGGTTAACATTAATATTGCTTTGCGCAGAAGTATGTGACTGGTGTTTTTGTTCGGCCAAATAGTCCTCTAGTACTGTTGCTACACTAGTGGTAGGATTGTCTGTGGATCTGTGCGATGACGTACGACTACTGGGGCGAATCGGAGTGTATCTCGGTAACGGCGATTCTGAATGTCGGGAATCGTCTCCAGATTCGGAATGTGGAGAAACAAATGAAGAGGGCGTTTCTCGTGCTGGTACTGATATATTTGAAACTCTATGTTCTTCATCGTTTATATAGGGAAAGAGGAAGCTTAGCTCTTTGTTATATTTAGGCGGTTTTATTTTGTTAGCGGCTTGACCACTTTTGGTCTTTCTTAAACTCAACGCCTTTCTATAGCTTTCTCGTATTCTAGTCCATCTTTCTCTACATACTGACCCTGTGAACAAAATACATTTTTTAATAAATCGAGTAAATTGAAAATAAAACATACCTACTATAAAATGTTTCTTTTCAGGTTTTTAGCAACCGGAAATTCTTTTACATTACTATCGAATAATTTCCGTATGGGCGAGAGCACAATTCGTGCAATAATTTATTCAACATGTAAAGTTATATATCGAACACTACAACCGATTGTAATGTCTACGCCAGATGAAAATTTGTGGACGTCGTCAGAAATAAATTTCCGCAATAAGTGGAATTTTCCAAATGCTGTTGCAGCTCTTGACGGTAAACATATATTACTTCAAGCTCCGGCGCACAGTGGCTCTATGTATTATTGCTATAAAAACACTTTAGTACAGTGTTACTGGCACTGGTAGACGCAAATTACAAATTTATTGCCGTAGACGTTGGCGCTTGTGGTAAGAATTCAGATGCCAACATATTCAAAAATTCTAATTTGGGAAAGCGTCTAAGCGAGGAAAGTTTAAACATGCCTTCACCAAAAGCACTTCCAGGAGGAAACACAGTCCTGCCACATGTAATCATTGCAGACGAAGCATTTGGCTTAAGTACGTATTTAATGAGACCTTATTCACGTGACGACGCCAGAGGAGATGAAGGAAAAAAAATATTTAACTACCGCCTGAGCCGAGCACGAAATACAGTTGAAGATACATTAGATATATTAGTGACAAATTCAGATTATTTGAACGGAGATTACTTATAAGTCACGATCATACTGTCACAGTTGTAACGGCAATATGTTGCCTACATAACTTTTTACGCGATGATACATGCTATTGGTCAGAAAGAGATCAAATGGTGACGTTGAGCGACATGAATGCCTTGGAAAATTTCAGAGGTATTGGAGGACATTCAACTTCTGACGCGTTGGCAGTAAGAAATGCCTTTAAAGAATATTTTTATTCCGAAAGCGGATCAGTTCCGTGGCAAAGAAGTAGAGTACGTGCTGGAAGACGGCAACAGTGATTTTATAAACAAAATAACTTGCCAAGTACGACTCGGATACGCTCATAGAGGATTCCGTACTAAGTACCACGAGCCCGACACGTATACTTGGCCAATTTTTATTATTGTCAATTGTAAACCAAAAATACCTTTACTACTTCCAGGGTTCCCTACGTAACTTCGGAAGTCATTTGATCGATTTTCATATCACCGACCACCACCGCATTAATCGATTGCTCCATTGAACGATCATTATTTCAACAAAGATTTAATTGCCCGATATAACGATTCATCGAATAACCGATACCAGTCACTGGTATATCTGTTAACAAAATATTCGCTGAAATGTTACATTGACTAAATAATACGTTAGTCATATATACCGTCGCTTAAACTTCGGTAACGGTAATAGGTTTTTCGATGAATCGTTACATCGGGCAATTAAAACTTCTTGAAATAATGCATCGTTCAAAGGAGCAATCGATCAATGGTGGTTGGTGAAATGAAAATCGATCAAATGACTTCCGAAGTTACGTAGGGAACCCCTACTTGCATAAGTACCTACCTACTACCAACCTACTTTACATACCGTTTCATCATCATCATCATCATTACAGCCCTTCACAAGTCCACTGCTGAACATAGGCCTCCCCCAAGTAATGCCACAAAGCACGGTCCTGAACCACCTGCATCGAGGTAGGTACGAGGCTGCCACTCGAGAACCTTTCTTCCCCATCGGTTATCGGTTCTTCGAGATATATCGCCGGCCCATTGCCACTTCAGATTACTAATACGTTGGGCTATGTCGGTCACTCTGGTTTTACTGCGGATATCCTCATTTCTGAGTCTGTCACGCAGAGAAACTCCGAGCATAGCCCTCTCCATAGCTCGCTGAGCGACCTTGAGCGTCCTCATACGGCCAGCAGTGAAGGACCACGTCTCAGATCCGTAAGTCATCACTGGCAACACGCACTGGTTGTACAATCTAGTTTTTAGAGATTGAGGTACACCTGACGAGAAGATATGTCGTAATTTCCCGAACGCTGCCCAGCCGAGTTGAATCCGTCGATTGACCTCTCGGTCGAAGTTGGACTTACCTAGTCGGACTATTTGTCCCAGGTAAACGTACTCGTCAACAACTTCGAGCATAGTGCTCCCAACAACTACCGGCATAGGTGTGACGTGGACATTAAACATAATCTTTGTTTTGTCCGTGTTCATCTTAAGACCTATCCGTTGGGAGGCACTATTGAGGTCATCGAGCATGGTGCTTAAGTCCTCCAGCGATTCTGCCATAAGGACTATATCGTCGGCAAATCGAAGGTGAGTGATGTACTCGCCATTGATGTTAATACCGTATCCTTTCCAGTCCAGTAGCTTGAAAACGTCTTCAAATGCAGCGGTGAAGAGTTTCGGGGATATAACGTCACCCTGTCTTATACCTCTCTGCAGTTGGATAGGTTTCGAGCTCTGGTTCTGTACTCGGATAGCCATCGTAGCCCTACTGTATAAACACTTCAGCACTTCGATATACCGACAGTCAACTTGGCACCGCTGAAGGGACTGTAGCATCGCTCCAAATTTCGACGGAATCAAAGGCTTTCTCATAGTCCACATACGCCAGCAAAGTGGCAGATTGTACTCTTCAGTCTTCTGTACAATCTGACGCAGGGTATGTATGTGGTCTATGGTACTGAAGCCTTTTCGGAAACCGGCTTTTTCGGGAGGCTGGAAGTCGTCGAGCTTGCGTGCGAGACGATTCGTAATGACTCTCGAAAACAGCACGTAGACGCGGCTCAGAAGGGAAATCGGTCTGTAGTTCTTTAAGAGAGCGTTGTCGCCTTTCTTAAAGAACAAGACCACCGCACTTCTGCTCCACGCCTCTGGAGTAGTGCCACCATGGAGGACGGAATTGAAGAGCTTCTGAAGGACTTCAAGTACCGGTGTTCCACCCGCTTTCAGAAGCTCCGCTGTAATTCCATCCTCGCCTGGGGCTCTGCCGTTTTTAAGGTGCTGGAGAGCCATTCTAATCTCGCTTAGACTGACGTCCGGGATATCATCGGAATAGTGTCGGATAAGACTTGCTCTTGGATCGTTACTCACACTTGCGTGTGGCTCCAACGATGATGTGTACAGCTGCCCATAGAACCTCTCAATTTTACTCAAAATCTCAGGTGTCCCGGAAACGATGCTGCCACACTTCTCTTCTACTCTCTTTCTCTCTCTCTATACTTCTTCAGCTTTGACAGTTGGCTCTTACTGGCAGACAGATCTCTGGCAAAGACTTTGGAGCCCTGGTTCCGCTCGATCGCTTCTTTAATACGAGCAGTATTAAAGTTGCTTAAGTCTCGCCGCATGCATTTGGAGATCTGTCTGTTCAGTTGCCTGTATGCTGTCAAATCTGTTGACGATTGCAGCCTATCTCCCGTCTAACAGCCATGGAGATTTTTGTGTTCTTTTGCGGCGGGTCTTGCAGAACTTAGCTCCGACCGCATGCGTTTCCACGAGCTTGTCATTCATATCGTCCACTGCATTCATTATGTAGGCACTGAAAGTGGTTACGTAACTCGAGCTGAAAGTTTTCGGGATTCTGGATTAGAGCACGAGGGGGACGGAGCGTTGACTTCATTAGACGAGACCTCTCCAACTTAACGTTTAGGTTCAGTGTGCCTCTAACCATTCGGTGATCGCTGCCAGTTTTCACCATTGCGATCACTGAGACATCACTGAACAGTAGGCGTCTGGTCGTCATAATGAAGTCAATCTCATTTTTTGTCGAACCGTCGGGGCTCGACCAGGTCCACTTCCTGTGGGGCCGCTTCTGGAAGAAAGAGTTCATCATAAAGAGTCCCTCTTTCTCCATAAAGTCGGCCAGCTGCTGGCCCCTTCGGTTCCGTTGCCCTACTCCCAAATTTCCCTAACTTCAGCTCACCCGTTTTCTCTTGTGCCTAGTTTTGCGTTGAACTCTCCCATCAACACCGTGTAGTGGGTTTTGGAGGAATGCATGGCTTTGGAAATATCCTCATACATTTCCTCCACCTCCTCATCGGGATGTGCCGAGGTTGGTGCGTAAACCTGTATGACTTTCAGCGAATACCGTTTGGTGATTCCGAGTATCAGGTACGCGACCCTCGTCGACACACTCAATCTTTACAACGTCGTTGACGAGAGACTTGTGGACGATATATCAGACACTTCCTTGGGACAGATGGTCGCCCTCCCGGTGATAGAACAAGTTGCCGGATTCGAGAATCACAGTGTCCTCCCCCTCTCTTCGGACCTCGGATAATCCTATAATATTCCAGCGCAACTTGTCTATCTCTTCTTCCAGCTCCAGGATCTTCTCGTCAGTCCTCAGGGTGCGTGCGTTAAATGTTGCCAGGTCGAGTCGTCGTAGGTAGCAACCGAACCTCCACCGGAGATTCTTAGCACCCCCTGCCCGCCCCGCCGTTACCATGGTCGCCACCGTAGCCAGGAATAGCGGGGCCGCCGGGGACTGGGGGCCGTCTATTTGTGTAATTGTTCATGGGGGGTATATTGCCATAGTTGACACGCTTGGCGGGCGGGTTGGCAACCGCAGTTTTTTTTGTCGTACAGTTGCTGTTATCACGAAGATGCTGCTGCCCATCTCCTGCCTGTTTCCCTCTGTCGCCTTTTACGACACCCACGGGAAGATATGGGGTAGTGGATATTCTTAACCGCCACTACACGGCGGTACATACCGTTTACAGGTATATTACCTCTGGCTCTGAAGTTATAGTATGGATTTCAATGGCTATCCTAGCTTTAGATCCCCTACCCGCAGGAGTATTACAAACTCTTATTACCTGGCAGATTCCGGCCAGCCCAGCAACCCATCCTTTTTTTTGCTTATATACTAGCTAGAAAGAGATGGCTTGCTGGGCTGGCCGGAATCTGTCAGGTAATAAGAGTTTGTAATCGCCTTCTGTGCTTCTGTACAGAAAGGATATGTCATTCTATTAAAAATAACCCCAAAAATTGTAAAACTACCGATTGCACAAAAAATAATTCTAAGCAAATTGTCAGAGGTAAAATTGCTGTGAACGGACTGAGTACAGATTTCGGTTTGTAAATTGATAAGTGACCGCAGAAAACAAAAATAAGGTATCGCGGGGAATCACGCAAGGAGCGGGGCACAACATGATGCGCAGCTATAACGGTCACTTAACAACTTACGTGTCGCGACCTGTACGTAGGTCTTAAAATTGCTTTGAAATAAAAATGATTATTACTCACCAGTATCATTCATTTGTTCCCCAATTTCTTCCCATATGTTGTCCCGTCTTTGCTGGTTCATATAGTGGGGATGTCGCAAATTATACAACTCCTCATATTGTTGTACATACGATATTAAAGCCACTTCGTCCATTGGTTCGCTCGTGTACCGTTCGGTACGTGCAAGTCGCTCAGCTCTATGGGCCCGAAAGGCATGGAATGCACAGTGTTGCCAGATCTTAAAATCAGTTTTCCGAAATTTTTATTGCCAAATTCCGCGTGAAATCCATATAAGAAGTTTCTAATAAAATCCATATGAATTCCGCACAAAAAAATTAAAACTCATATTTGATTGACATAATTTCGATTTAGAGCACTTTTATATGAACAATTTTATGAGAACATGTTACGGAAAGAAAAAAATCTTGATAAAATATTTTTGTCTTGCTTGCACTAATAGTAAATTTATATAACTGTCTTTTTCTCTCATTGTTACATATAGCAACTGCTACATTTAGCAGCACGGAACCGCACTTTCCTATGCTTCTCTAACCTTTTCTGTCACCCAGACGTCATTCACTCTAGCGAAAAACAGAACGAGAGTGCGACCGCACGTCGGCGGAATTGACGGGGTGTCACCTTCCTGCTACGTTTCTAGACGTAGCTCAACCCTTTAACGACCAACTAAAATATCTCAAGGGTATTTGAAAAAAATACAAATCGCTAGTTTATGAAAGATCAAATAATTTTTAACGTTCCGTTTTATTTAAATTCATTTTCTAAGAATATTAAGAAACTACTCTGCATTTGCCTGTTTATTCCGTATAAAAATCTGTGTGCATGTATTGTCCGGTTTGAACATTAAAATTCCGTATCTGGGCACGCGTGCGGCTACACCGAGTACCACCGTACGCGCCGCATATATGACGTCATCAGAATGCTTTCTTCAAAATTCGTATGCCTACAGCATTTTACGAAACGCGGCGCGTACGGTGCGGGTCAAATGTGCGTGGTTTCTCATGATTGCATACAACGAATTCTAAAATGCGGCGTGTTCGGTGCGTGCGGCGCGTACGTTGCTGACATATGTGCGTTCACCTTTATTACTTAGTATTTTTTTTAATTTTAAGGTTTCGTAACTGACATTCTATAAATATTATGAAGAATATTAGAAATAGGTTAACAAACGAGCACATAGTCCACCAAACGGTAAGTGGATGCTGTGCGGGATTTTCTCAAAACATTGATGTTCGACAATGGTTGAAATTTTTGATTTGGTCTCATCCTAATGACAACTTAATCAGACATTTGTGTTCAGAAATAATAAAAATAGGTTATAGGACCCACGATTTTATCGCACATGTAGTGTGAATAATTTTAATTTATATTCGTGATTGGACAACCCCAGCGGACAGCTCCCGAGCGACTAACGGCAGCTCAAGAGCGCGCTCCGCACCGCACTACACTATTACCCCGTCTAGACGCTAGACATGTGTCAATCATGCATGATTCGTACGTTTGAGCTGGTACACTTAAAAGTATTGATTGTGGTTCATTCATTTGTTTTGAATTGGTTGTACCGGTACAACCAATCACAAACAATTGACGGAACCTTTATAACCCGTGATTGGTGTGAGTTGTGAATGAGCCTAAAACCGACCGCATCCCGAATGATCTGAATAAATAGTCGAATCGAATAAACAATGCAGACTGCAGAGTAGCAGGAGTATTTATTATTTAAGGGTTTTTTATTATAATATTGTTACCTAAATTAAAAATGATTTTACATTTCATTATATTTATTTGTTACATCTATGAGTTAAAAATAATTTCGTAGGGTTGACTAAAAATAACACTTCGAAAGATTTCATGGCAAAATTTGATTTATTTAATATGATAATTTTCAACCACCTTAATAAGTATAACATAAGAGTTTAATTTTGTAGGAAATAAATGTTACAGTCGTTATTTTTCGACATGTAAGGTAAGATGAAATTGTGTATTTTTAGTAATGAAATTTAATAATAAACAAATTTAAAATATATATTAATATTGAATAAAGTTATCAGTCAAAATCAAATCAATTGGATCACTTGAGGTGTTTGTGTTTAGCCATCTAGCGTCGATTGTACTTTACCACCTTGAAAGTTAATAAGTTTTAGTTTGATAAAATGATTTTATGTATTACCTATAGCATGTAGTATAGATGACGCTATTACAAATCTCAAATAGAAAATTTTCGGTTCCCAATGGATGATTAAGTTGTCATTAGGATCTTACACTCACAGTACTGGAGCCCGAAAAGATCCATTTGAATGATCGATCCGAATTTATTGGTACGCGTGACGAAATGTACTAGAATGGTTCGGTCACTAGAAATGAATGATTGACACATGTATACTAGAAGCCTTCGATGACCGACTGTTAGTAGTAGTTAGACTGTGGTACTGTTGTTTACAATGTTTTACAAATGCAATAAAATGATTGACAAACTATATTTGAACTGTATTGTACAAACATTAAGTAAAACCTTATATAATAAATAAATTAAAGACCACAAAACAATTTGTTTTTCTTTTCCTATTAACACATGATTAACCTATAGAGGCCGAGTTTGTTGTTAACTCATACTAATTAAATTCGAAATACTATACAAACTCATAGCAAGATTTAAAGTGCTTTTGTTTTATGTACATACATCTATTACAATATCACAGTTTTGATTAAAACGGGCTTGCCCTTAGATACCCAACAAAGGTTTTACTAGCTGCTGTCATCTGAATCACTCTGTATTTGTCTCTTTACATTTTTGTTTTTTCGTCTAATGACAGGACTATCACTGTTTTTCGTCTCAGTTCTTTCAGGGATAACACCGTTTTTCTTTTTCTTTCTCTTTTCTTTTAAAAGTCTTTCTGCTATATCTAATTCCGACACTTCATTGACCTGTGTTAGTCCAATGTGGGAGTCAACACAGAAACTATCCTGAAAATTTTATTTGCATATTTTGTTATGAATTATTATTATTTCAGTAAATTTTATGTGAAACAAAGATTATATTTACCATCTCATAATCATCTTCTTCAACAAATTGTGAACACACCTCAATAATATTATGTATCTTTGGTAACTGAGGTATTTTAAAGACTCCTTTAACTGGACTCCTAAAAGGACAAGAAGGTAACAAGTTAAGTATACATAATATAAAATATAAATTCAATCACTTTATTAACTTGTTGATTGTGAAGTATTTAACCACTAGCTTTTTACCCGCGGCTTCGCTCGTATGGGTTTCCGTTGAGGAACATCATTAATACTGCTCCATTCCAAAATCAACAAAGTTGGATCACTTCTAGAGTCGCCTCGTTGTCACGTTTGTTAGTCACGTGATATCTTTTGAATTCTTAGACTATTGACGTATTTTTTTTTGGAATTGCATTAATATCATACGTGACACAAACTGCTCGAGTTTGTGTCACGTTTTATATCGGTCATGATATAAAACGTGACACAATATATACTAAAGAGTTTCTCTTTTAATCACAGTTTTGTATACACAGTATCCAGTATAACAGTTTAGTTAGTTATTTTTCTAAACGTTGCAATTACGGTAAATCATCAAAATAATGGCTGGATATTTTAAGTTTTTGATCCAGCAAGAAAAAGTATTCAGTAGCGTTATATTTAATCTTATCAATTAGTTATTATTAGGTTTTTGGAGTGGTGGCGCTAATATTAGATTAAAACTATGAAATCCAAAACTGTCAAGTTATGTAAATACGGTAAGATCGTAGAATTGATCATATTATCATGAAGTGCTGGACCACTTCAAATATCGCAATCACTTAACGTTAGCCTAATATGACTGACCATCTCTACATAATATAAAACAAAGGCGCTTCCCACCGTCTGTACGCTTAGATCTTAACTTAAACTACACAACGGATTTTGATGTTGTCATCAATAGACAGAATGATTCAAGAGGTAGGTTTATATATATTATAATACATGCATTGATATTATTTATGATAGTGCAAATGATGGTTATGTTAATGAACAGATCAAAAGAAAGGGATATGAAAGTGAACGCAAGTAAAACGACATGTGAAATAAGAATAGAGAAGGAGAGTTGATCGAGCAAGTAGATGAATTTGTATATTTGGGATGCGTATGTAGCAAGGATGGGAGATATGATAAGGATATAGAACGACGAGTGAACCCAGGAAATAGAGTAAATAGGGTCCTACTCTATTGTGAAAAGCCAGAATGTGTCAAAAAAGGCACGAATGGCAATTCACAATGCTGTGTTGGTCCCTACTTTAAAGTATGGTGTAACGTGTGCCAGAAGAAGCACGAGAGTAGAATAAATGCAGTACAAATGCGGTCGTAAAGGAGTATGTTAGGGCTGAATCTGAGTGACAGGGGTGAGGATTTGTGTGATAAGAGAGGAGTGTGGTTTGCAATATGATGTGAAGATTGCTTGGGTTTGGGAAAGAGTGACAAAGCAAATTTATGTTGCAGAAGTGAACGGCAGAGTAGGAAAGGGATGTCCCAGGCGAAAGTTTATCGACCATATTGGTGTTATATTGAAAATGGGCCAAATTAGGAGTACCCTTAACCGACGAGCATGTGTGCGTAGATATATGGATGTAGAGGAGGCGACAGAGGTGTGTCAAGATCATGCCATATGGAAGTCTGTAGTCACTGCCTACCCCTCTGGGTGACAGGCGTGGTTTATACATAATATATATATTACAGTAATCTATAAATATAAAAATCAATTGCTGTCCGATAGTCTCGCTAAAGCTCACCGATTTTAATGAAATTTTTTGTGTGTATTTAAGTGGGTTCCTGGATGATTAAATTTACAATTGGAACCGGTAGGTGGCGCTGTTACCGATATTCAGAAATGGCCTGTGCGAAGCCGGGTCGAATCGCTAGTAACGTATAAATGTCAACGTTTGTCAATTTATCCTCCATATATAATTGAATCCACGATGTCAATTCTCATTTCCCCTTAAATCATACGAAAGCATCATCTAGTAATATCAGCGATAGTAGATTGAGATGCGGCTGGGGCGATCCTAGGACCACCTCAAAGCCGCGAACATTTATGTATATTATTTAAATGTTCGCGATAAGGCATAAAGTTATGTG